CTCCTTGCTACCGCGATCTCGCCCACAGGAAGCCGCGACTGTGTGGCAGCAGGGAAAATGGTCGCGGATCCGGTTCATAACTTGAGGCGGAGTTTGCAAGTCGAGGTAAATTTTTGGGGCCGGAGCTGGTTGTATCTCGAAAAATTCGTAAGGAGGGGCGTTCGTAATTCGAGGTACCACTGTATATACTTGCACACATACATATCCAACAGAAACAAGAAGAAGAAACAGTGGAGACAGGACGAGGGGAAAGGCTAGCCAGAAAGGGAGGAAAGAAACAGTACGTGCACAAAACAGAACAGAATGGAGATGAAACCAAAGGAAGTGGCAGCTGACCAAAGAAGGAAAGAAAAGAGACAGCTTGTGGAATGCCTAATAGCCAATGCATTCTAGTAAATTCCACTGAATACAATGACTTTTACTCAATATATATATATGCTTCGAAAGATAAAAATGTTCTCAAGTCAAACTTGATTCCTGGTAACTACATAAGCCTACCCATAATGTTTTCTTGACAACAATAAGTTCACTACAGCCAACTCCCCAGGAATTTCCTAGTGATTTTCCATCCAAATACTAAGCAGGCTTAACCAACCTAGACAAAGTTGGCCAGGATGCTTACTTCAATCATTATGAAATCTGCAACAGTCTAATCCAAAGGAGAGTGACAAGAAAGCAAGCTAACCCCACCTGCCTTTCACTGAAGAAGGAAAAGCCAGAGTCACTGCTTCTTCCTCACTAGGTGTGAGGAATCTGAGGAAAAAAAAAATACATGTGTGGTGTCCACTGACAGAGGCAACTTTCAGTCTGTTAGGCACCATGCGCTTTTCCAGAGTCTTAAATTGTGCCCCCACATAACCCGTTTCCCCCTCACATTCCTTTCATGTAAATATTTGGCAGGCTATGAAGAAAAAAGGTGAAGAGCACACTAAACAAGACTGTATAATGGCAATAATTCATCAGCCCACTATATAAACTTCTGCAATTATGCCAAAAAAAATTAATTACATAAAGAAAGATGAGCCTCATTAAATACAGAATATTTCTATGTTTGGGCTCTCATTAACACTGACTATACATATGGCATTTCAAAAATAAGCATAAACTTATAAGAACACTTCATGTAATTTCTAAAGATGACATTTATATATACAAATAATTATTCTTTGTTTTATACCTCTTTCAGATTTAATTTGAACATACCTAATAAAAATTACATAACCCAGGTTATAAATCTGCTACATTTTTAGTGTACTATTCAATAAATCCAGTATCTATGACTTGAGATTTACTAGCTTTGAACTGGGCATATTGCTACAGAAGTAATGTTGGAGTAAGGAGGGGCAATTAATAAAGATGAGGAGTGTATGTTGTTTCCAACAAATTAAGTAATTTTACTTTTGATCAGATAAAAGTAACTTTAATTCAATCAACTTTAATTCAAGTCAGAATTCTTATATAATCTGAAATATTAACACGAAATAAAAATGGGTAACAATCCAGGTTAAGAGGGGAACCTATTTAACCTTTACTTCAGTTAATACTAATCCTATGTTTAAGACACCAGAGGCGGGTGTGGGGTGGAAATGGGACAATTTCATTTAGAGGAGATGAATGCACACCACTCCTGATCTCTTAATCAAAGAAATGATGAGTTAATATCTGCAAAAACCTTGTATATATTTATTTTTCAGATTCAGTTCCCTTATGTTGCCATAGCTAGTTTTAGTGCAACCACTTTATAGAAACATCTATGCTTTGTCATTTCATTAAAATATTGATTCTATGAAGTACCTACCATTTCCTAAAGGAATGTTTCAAAGATGCTAATAAATCTATAAATTGAACTGAATATTTGATATTTCATTTGACATTTCTAAGACTTCACTATCATGATTACTGCTGCTATGAGCACATAAATGTCCACGCAGGCAGCCCCTGGGTTAAGAACGTCCAAGTTACAGACAACTCATATTTACGAATGGGCTGCCTGTTACTAAAAATGGCAGGCTGTGTTCTCCTTTCTAGAGCCGACGGACCACTGAAGCAGCATGTTTTAAATATACAGCCTGTTTTCAGCAGTTCATGAAAACATCATGTGGCTTCAGCAGTTTGTCAGCTCCAGGAAGGAGAACGCCGTCTGCCATTTTTAGTAACACGCAGCCCCGTTCATAAGTATGATTCCAACTTACATACATACAAATTCAAGTTAAAGACAGGCTTAGTAATGGAACTCATTCTTAACCCGGGGACTGCCCGTATTGCATTATGTTCCATAAGAATAGATAGGAGTGGGCATGCTGTGGGTCCCATCACTTAAGCAATGTCATCTTGTGAGACCCAGGAAATGTGCCTTCTGTGTCATGATGCCTGCCTGCCTTCTGGAATGATATTTCCTCAGATATCCAAATGGCTCCCACCTTGATGATGTTCAGGAAGCTATTAAAGACCTGGTTATTCCCCCAGGCTCTGGAGCACAGCAAAATTTGAGCCTCTGTTGGATGGGTTTACTTTGGTTATTGTTATGTGTTGTTTCTGGGACCATTCATGATTCTTCTTATATTTTTTTTAATTGTAAGCTGCCCAGGGTCATTGGGAGCTGGGGGGCCAATAAATTGTATGAAGTAAATAACTAGGTAAGTAAACAGGCAAGCAAATCAGTCCATCTTCCTCATATGGTTTTTTCAGCTTGAGAAAATATCTATTTGTTCATGCAAACATGATCCAGATACTGCACACCTCTAGTATAGTTAACCTTGATTTGGGGAAGCTGTACTGTAAAGTAACACGAAGGGCCTTAATATTTCATATCACTTTTTTAAAAAATTCAAATTCAAATGGGGAATTTAAGAGGAATTATATATCCCATTCTGCAAACTTTAAATGTTTAAAGAATATACAGCTCTTTCCAGAATCAGCTGGCTTTTTTTCCTGCAAAACTTATGCTTCTCATGAAATTTGATCATCCTTCTTAATCAGCAGTGTAATTAAACAGTATTAGTAATACCCTAATATACAGAGCACTACAAGTTCTTCCCAAATGCAAATCTGTTTTTTTTTTTTAAAGCCACTTAAATATTTTAAACCTAGAATTTCCCCATTTAAGGTAAGTGTAGCCAATGCAGTTATTAAATACCTTAAGTAAGTTGTCTTCCCATTTGCTTGAGTAGACCAATGTATCAGATTTGAAGTTGGTGCTTATTGCTTGAGTATAAGATGATTTTTCAACTTTCTGTTTTGAATTCAAGAGGGAAAGCGCGACCTTTGTTGGCAAACCAAGTGGGTTGGGATTGTTGGGACTGACAGACCAGGAAGAATAAGCTGAAGACTGTTGGTCATGTTGTAATAAATGTACTGGTTTCCTTTTTAATAGGTAACACCATGTAAAGTTTGTTGCTGTCTTTAGGCTTGGAAAAGATAATCTTTGTATATCACCTGCATTTACAGCAGAAAAAGTAGCTCCAGAGTTTGCTTGGCTGTGGATACTGGGTTTCTTGCTTTCATTAAATCCTGGGGACATCCTTTCTTGACTGTCATCTAGAATTTTTACAAATGAAGAAGTGTTCAGTGGAACAGACTGATGAGGCCTTCTGTCTGCAAAGTCTGTGGTTCTAGAAGTTGGTAGGTTATCTTGTTCTAAGGATTCTTTTACAAATGAATAAACTTTAGACTGAGCAGATTCAGGTGAACCAGACAACAGGACATCTGATGAATTATTGGCTCCACCACTTTCATCATCCTGATCCAATGGGAAACTTTCAAGGGGCTCGGTGGTACAGCTCTGCCGTACTAAAAGTGGCTTCTTTTGCTTACTAGGTTCATTTGGTTTAATGTTCAATGGATACAATGATACAGCACCTGTGAAAGAAATAGCTCCACTTTCATCTTTAACACGTTTCTGATGTTTTTCCATGGCAATGTCTAAACTGTTGGCTGGGGAAAGCATGCGTTTACTTGAAGCTGTGGTTTCCTGTTGAGGGAAAAGTCCACCAACTGGTACTTTCTGAATCAGATTTAAAGATCTTAATGAAACTGAAGTTTTGCTTTCTGTCTCATAAATCAAGTTTTCAAATAAAGGTGCTGGCTGAGAACACGGCAAACACCTCATATTATCTTTGTGGGATTTTGGCATCAAAGTCTGGTCTTGAGCTACTGTCACTGATGCAGCATTTAGTTTGCAAAGAGACTGGCTTACCTGATCCTGGGTGACTAGAATTTGAGGAATGGGTGCAACAGAAGCTAAGCCATAAGATGGAATATTACTGTGACTACGCACAGGAACAGCAAAAGGTTCAGCCTGGTAGACTGGGCCGCTGTTGTTATCAGGAACAGTTTGTTGCAAAGGCTGGGCTGCATATGGCTTACTCATATTATTATTTAATTTAGTAAATATTTCTAATGAAGCCCCAGCCTGTTCTATGCCAGCTATTCCTGGAAGACCTGAAGGATATTGCTGTTCTACATGCAAGGCTTTAATCTGAAGTTGATATTTAGGTGCAAAACAATCCTCTTGCTTACAATGCTGGCTAGCAATCATGCTTAGATTTTTCTGAGTTTCTAGTGCTGATCCTGTAAGAGATGCTTGGGAATTCTGACACAGTGAAGATTGTTGATCGTGATGATTTAGACTAGATCCTGCAGACTGTTCAGTGGAGGGAAGGTTAAGAAAGTTGATGCTCTTTACTGACTCCTGCAAAGTCTTGGTATAATTTTGTGGGTGCTGAGAACCTGAAGAAATGTCCTCAAAAGGTATCTCAGAACTTTGCAACCTATGAAAAGACACTGTTGAAGTATCTGCTGCAGGAGCTGTTTGCAAGGAAGCATGTGATACAATGTCAGGCAGATTCTTTTCTGGAGCAATATTTAAAGAGATTTGTCTTACAAGAGGTCCCCTCCTCCTTTCTAAAAGAGGTACATGTCCAGTGCCACCACTACTAGTAGTCAATTTGGAAGAGGATATCTCTTTAAGTGAGGCAGGTTTTGATGCAGTCACACTTCCATAATCAAAGCTCTTGCTTCTATAGTCAGGTACTTCCATGGAAGGTTGGGTACAATTAATTTGTTCAGAAGCAGCACGTCGCATTTCTCTGTAATGAGGACCAGGCACACTAAGTGTATTTGAACAGGGAGGAATTGTAAGGAATTCCAAAGATTTATTAATAGGTTCTGCTTTGGAAGCATTCTCATTCTTAGAGACTTCATCTTTATCAAAAGATACTGAGAAGCTAGATGCATGTGATAAACTACTTTCCCGACTCAAACTTCTAGAAAGTGTAGATTCAAAGCTTGAATCAGCAGATGAATGCTCAATTTCAGCCAAGCGAATTCTTTTCTTTTTTGGTGGAAGCTTTTCTGTGGGTAGCTTTGATAGTGTTTCACTTCGTTGAGGCCAGTTAAATTTTTCTGTCTTTTCAAGATCACTGCATTGGCATTCCTGGTCTCTATCTGGCTCTTCTGTAACCAGTATTTCAGGAACTTGTATGTTATGTTGGCGAACAAGTCTTAGTGGTTGTACTGATGCATTCCTTTCATTAGGAGAAACTCTACATTCATGATGAATTTGAATTCTTGTTGCTCCTGCTGCCTGAAGACTTTGGGAAGCACTCAAGAGTGGATGTTTCTCTTCTTTAATTACATTATTCAAGGAATGGAACTTCTCAGGTTTGTTAGCTGGGAAAGAAATAGGTGATATTCTTTCAAAAGAATCTGATTTTTCAAATGAACTAGGTCTGCTTAGGGAATTTGTGTGCTGAATGACAGAAATTCCAGCTCCTTGCCTTTTCAGCTCATTTTTTTCATGCACAATTGGAACACTGTGATTCTTCCCATGCAGCAACATTTTTGGCTCTGTGGCTTGCTCTGCAGTTTGAATCTCTGGCTCATCTTGCACCAGTTTGTGAACTGAAGTGTTGTGTGAATCTAGGATAACAGCATGTTTAGAGACAGCGTTTCCTAGTTTATTTTGGCTCTCTACTTCTGCTATATTTTTTGCCAGGCTACTAGTATCATTTGTTGGTGCTTCATCATCCTCATCTCCAACACTTTTCATTTTCCTTCTTTTTCTTATCTGAGATGTCTGCTCCCACACACCAGTTGATGTCGCTACTCGGTAATGAAGGATTTGTGGTTGTGTACTGTTCACAATAGTTTTATGTTCAGAATCTCGAATAGCTGCTTTGGTTTTTGGTCCATGCAACTCTGAACAGTAAAACTTTTTATGGTTCTCAAAATTCTCCAGTTTTCTATATCTATTTCTGCAAGTCTCACACTCAAACATTATCCCTCGGCCTTGATGTGACTTTTTGATTTTATCCAAATTTGAGCCTTGCACAAATGACTTGCTTCTTGCCATTAAGAATTCATTTGATACACTGCATCCATAACTTTCATCTACAGATCGTGCTGGTCCAAATGTGTGCCCTTCGCTGGATGAAGAATCTTCTATTGCTGTTTGCCGAACAAGTGTGCGAGTATGTCCAGCTTGGAGCTGTGGAGTGGCAGGTCCTGGCACAAAGACATCATCATACAAAGAGGCAATTTTATCATCAAAAGACTGACTTCCACGCAGAGGATGTGGGGGAGGTATTACATTCGTAGGTATAGCTGAATAACTGGTAGTAGGCATAGAATTACTTCTGGTTATAGGTAAACAGTCAAGGGTTGGTACAGACAAGAGAAAAACTTGCTTTGACTTTTCGGTTGGTGTAAAAGGAGACTTTGGTATATCAGAGCTTGAGCTAGTTCTTCTACCCATTGGTTTTAGGTCAAACTGGAAGGAATCTTTAAAAATATAGGACTTTGGAGAATCAATGCTGCCTCTTCTAGAAAGGGATGTTCTTCGTGGTTTCACACTATCCAATTGTTTGTCATCCACTACTGCCTCATTGTCAGATATTAATTTTGAAATGCGTTCTTCAAGGGTTTTTGTGGCCAAAGGTGGTCTCATTTGACCAGATGATAGAAAAGACTTATCTCCACAAGTAGTCTGTGCAACAGTTACCACTGTGGTGCTCATTCGTGGCCCACAAATTTTACTTAGGTCTTTTTCAGTTGTGGGAGGTCCCTTCAAAAATGGAGCTGGTGGACTCATGGTCTGGTCTGCACTTTCTGAACGTGAGAAATAGCCTGAATCAGTGCTACCCAAGCTTCTAGGACTCAGGAGACATTTTCCTTGTTGTTCTTGAGAACAATCTGTTGCCTGCTGTCTCTGTAACTGTGCATGTATTGCTGCCCCCATAGGGGTCCCAGGCTGTTCCTCAGAAATATCTACTTGTTTTTTCTGATGTTGGCTTATATCAAACTCTTTTATCAAGTCACTGTAAGTTATATCTGATTTCACATTTGTGACTGTAGAGTTGGGGACTGTTACTTTGGGACAATCGCACTGTAAAGGAGACATATTTATAGGGTAAACAATTACCTTAGGTAAAGCTGTCCTTGCTTGAATAGCTGATTCCTGAAATGAGGAATTGCCTACCATATATTCTGGGTTGCTTAATGAGATGGGATTACCTTTGTGTAATGACTCAGAATTAGAAGGGGTTTTCACTGCATGAGTAGGTTCCAGTTCTAATGATCCAGGGTCATCTTGCCTCTCATCAGCCGTGCCTTCATCATCACTGTCACCACTTTCTTCTACATCTGAATGAATACTAAGTGCTTTATCTGATTCATGGGAGAGAAACAGCCCAGAAGAGTCTGGTTGGAGGACAAGTCCAAGTTTGATAGCGTGGGCGTGGGATTTCTTGTGCTTGTACAAATTGCTTTTAGTCTTAAAAGAAAATCCACAAGTCTCACAAGGATATGGTCGTTCTCCTGTGTGGGAGCGGATGTGCTTTAGGAGAACACTGGGCTTAGCACATGCCCTGTTACAATACTCACAGACATATTTCCCCATTTTTTTAGGCTTCTGAACTTTTAGAAGGTTACATATTTGTTCTGCACCATGGTTGACAACTGAGGCTATCTGGGCTGAATTGTACAAGGGAGCTATAGGTATCTGGGCAGTGGAGCTGGGTAGTGGAGCTGGATTAATTGACAAAGGAGAAGATGATTTTGCTACTAGGTGATTTTGACAAAAAGCCTGAGTAACAGAAGACTGGGGGGTTATTGAAGACGTTACTGCTGTGCTATATATATGTTGGAGTTTGAGATTTTCTTGATTCTGTTGATGTACCACAGAACTAGTGAAGTTTGGGCATGCAGTTACTTGTTGATTGTGTTGTCCAGCTTTTTCAGGAATTCCTTCTTTTAAGTGAGCAGCTGAGTGCATCTGTGCTTGTGAAGTCTTCCCTGATGTTGTTACATGCACAGTCTGCAAAGTGCAAGGATAAAACTGAGATCCAGCTACATTTTTTTGCTGTAATGAAGCATCATGACTTTGGGCACTCAGTGTATTGGATGCAAGAGAGGAAGAGGTGTTTATAGTTCTGTTTGGTCTCAGTTTATCAATCTGCATTCCACTAGAAGGGCACTCTTGTGCTAAAGTGTTCAGTTCAGGCTCCATAGCTTTCAGTAAGACATCAAATGCAGTATTGGTACAGGAGGATGAATTATTACAATCAACAAAACTAATACATTCATTATTGTCTACCTTGGATGTACTTGAACAGCTAGTGGAGCCTTTCTTCACTGGTAAATTTAGCTGAGTTGAACTGTATTCTTCTACTGACCATTTATTTAAGTCCAAGGATTGAGGTAACAGAGATGGTTTTGCGTGTAGTATAGTCTCAGCTGTGGATATTTTAATAGCTATCTCACTATTAAATGTCCCCACATTTTGTTTATTTTGTTTCCCATTTTGTGAAGCCAAACTATGAGGTTCTTTTAATATCTCTGAAGTATCAGGGAGAATTTTAGATGATGATGAAAGGTCTTCTACTTTTTCCTTAGATTTTGCCTGAGCTGGAGTTCTCAAAGGTGATTTTGGTATTTTTGTCTGATGATTCTCAGTTACAATCTTTTTACGCTTCACACCTTTAACTGTGTCTGTGCTCCCTCTTGTAATAGCCTCGGAGATGTCTGCCCAAATACAAAGAAATAAAATCACATGTTGATTGTGCAAAATTTAGCAGTTTAATTTACAAACCAGTTTCAATACACACAATGTTGAGCCCTTTTTAATCCCTACTTTTTAGAACTGGCAACTACTAAATGCAGTAATAAAAAAACTCACAGTAACTTGCCCAGGTTCACCTGAATTATACATGCTTCAGCAATATGAGTCCAACATAACACTTCAGGAATTTGGACAATTTTAGAGTCTTCACTTTCATATAATCTGCTTAAATTCTAGAAAATATTAAACTTCTTTTATATATGATACTGATTAAAGACAAGAAATGTATCAATAGCTGTTATTCCACAAAATGACATTCATCATATACAGTAGTATATGTATGCAAACTCCTCCTTTGCAACCCGCTTGCATAACTAATTAACAAACATGCAGATAAATGAAAATGGTATAAGTGTTTATGTAGTTAATTGTGGTCCACTAAAATTTTATGTTTTGGGGCAATGGACTAATAATGCTACCTCTCTGGATACTGAATTTATTATCAATATAATTAAAATGAAGCTTGACTCAACATTATTCCATAATATGTTCTGTATTTATTTATATAACTCTGGGTGACTCACAATCCAAAACAATAAAAAGCAGCATAAATACAACTACAACACACACACATATATAACAAACACAGAATGCAAAATACAAAGCTGAGGCCCCCTCAGTCAACAACATTGACCAGTACTGGGTTCCCTAAAAACCCAGTCCTAATGCCTGTGGGAAAAGCCACAGTCTTATAGCCTTCCAAAAGGCCACTATGGTCAGCACCACCCAGATTCTGGGGGGAGGATGTTCCAGAGGGAAGGCTTGGGACCTACAAGATGGCATTGTTTCACTGAGGGGACCCAGAGACATAAACCCATAAGTAATCTGGCCCTGTATATGAATGGCTTTAAAGGGTGAAAACCAACACCTTGAATTGCACTCAGAAGCATACTGGAACCAATCAGCTCATGCTGCAGAGGTATTATATTGGTAAATCTTGGTGTACCCAATACTGCATGACACTGCATTCTGGACAAGTTGAAGCTTCCAAATGCTTTTCAAGGACAGCCCCATGTGGAGCATACTGCAGTACAGTAGTACAGATGGAAAATGACCAAGGCATTAGAGCATCTCAGTCTACAAATGGATGTAACTGGTGCACATGATGATTTGTGCAAAGGTCCTCCTAGCCACAGCTCCTAGCCTCTCAATCCACAAATGGATGCAACTGGTGCACACAATGATTTACGCAAAGGTCCTTCTAGCCACAGCTAATGCTTTTCAAGGACCGTCCCATGTAGAACATACTGTGGTACAGCAGTACATATAGGAAATGGCTAAGGCATGAGAGCCTCTCAAACTACAAATGGATGCAACTGGTGCACATGATGATTTGTACAAAGGTCCTCCTAGCCACAGCTACCACCTGGTCCTCAAGCAGGAGTTGTGAGTCCCAGATTGGATATCAATTCTGCCGGGTGGAGTGCTACCCCATTCAGATGGAACAGTTCTAGAACCAGAAGGCCTCAAAACCCAGAGATGCTCAGTGTTGCTAGAGTTCAGTTGCAACTTGTTCCTCCCAATCCCCCAGCACTGAGGCACTGCGTAAGCACCTCTATAGCATCACTTCACAACCTGGGGCGGAGATGTACAACTGGACTTACTCATCCACTTACTGATATCTCACCTCATGCCAAAAGGTGACCTTGCCCAGTGGCTTCATCCACAAGCATGACCGATGCTGTTTCAGTGCTTAAACCTGGCCTGAAACTAGACTGAAAAGGGTCCAGATGATCCACTTCATCCAGGGCCCTTTGAAGCTGGGAGCTAACCACCCTCTCACCAATCTTCCCGCAAAAGGAAAGGGTGGAGACTGGACAAAAATTGTTCCAGTAATTTTGGGTCCAAGGATGGCTCTTCAGGAGGGGATGGACCACTGCCTCTTTCAAAACAAGTGTAACCATTCCTTCCAGCAAAGAAGCATTCACCACAGCTTGGATCCAACTATAGGTCACCTCCCAGGTGGTCTTAACCAGCCAGAAGGTGCCCAAAATTACAGTCCCAAGGACTCTGTCCACTTCCTCAGGACCAACAGGTTGGAACTCTTTCCAGATAACTAAGACTGCACCTCAGTCAATTTTGTATGTCCTGCCCAGTTAGAATCCAACTCCAAGCAAATCTGAGTGACTTTATCCAACAGATGCTTAGAATAGTCTTCACAGAAGCCCTGGAGAAGTTCCTCTGGCCGCTTCTTAGAGGGACCTGGTTGCTTGAAACATGGTTGCCAAATAGCTATCTGCAGATGCAATAAGAGCAGATCTTATTACTTTTGCTGCTCTTATCACCACACGGTAAGCTTTAATAGATATTTTTATCTATGCTCATATTTGCTAATTGTCTTCCTTCAGTGGCACTCTAGGCATCTTGTGTCATTTCATCTCACAGAATCTCTCCGAAAACCAGGGGGATTCTGGGATTCACAGATGCAAAGAATCTGCATAGGCCGGATCAGATCCAGGTCTGCTGCTTCCTGTTCATTCCAACCTGCTCATTCTTCAGGCCTTGGACAAGCCATGCAACAGAGTTTCAGGAACAACTCCAAGCTTCCTCTGGAATCAACTGGGTCCATCAGTCACCTGGGGTAGACTGATCAAATAGGCCCCTCCTCCCTGCAGAAGGTATAGCTAAGAACTCTAAGGCTACAAGTTAGTCATTTGCCCATGACAAGGGTGGAAATATTCCTCAACACCAGAACATGTCACCACTGCCCCAAACAAAGACCAGATCTAGTGTATACTCCCTCCCCCCATGAGTAGGGTCCCTAATAATCTGGATCAGGTCCCATGGCTGCCATGGGCTCAGAGGAGTCAAGTTGAAGTCTCTCAGAATCATAAGCCTGGGGAAGTCCACCACCAACTGAATCAGAGTTGAGGAGCACAGGCGGGAAAGCTTCTACCCAGCAGGAAAACTGGCACAGTAGCAGCAATCCCAACTAATCTCTCCAGCCCAGTTTCACAAACAGGACTTACATCTGGCTTTGCCCATCACAGCACCCCTGAAGTCCACCAGAGATTTCCAGATGACAACAGGCACACTACCTTCCCTATCCCAGGATCATGGCTGATGCCATGTTCAAAACCAGAAGGGCACATTTCTGAGAGTGAAACCTCCCCATGCTCAACCAGATTTCAGTAATGCAAAGTAGGTTGGACCTCTCAATTAAATCATGAATGAGTCTTATTACAGGGAACTTTGTATTAAATAGTAGTAGATGGAAGGTGGGATCACTGAAGCTCTGAAGATCAGGTCTTAGGACTACGTGCAGAGGGCTAGAACATGTCATCAATATTAAACATTGAAGCTGGCTTTCCCGAGAATGGCCCATCCTGTCTTTTGTCATTAACTCCCCATGATGTCTTTGCCCTCCTCCTGCTCAATCACCAGACCACATCTATCCAATTTTCTCACACAAAGCCAATCCCCTGGACCCTTGCCCTCCCATCCCCAGGTCAAAAGACCCCATCATCATCACCCTCACACATGAAATACAAGATGGATGACAAACATACTCAAGCACTTGGGTGCTTCTGCCTAGCACACATCACCTACTACTTGGGGCATCTGTTCATATCCCACTCCACATCCACCCCCCCCATGCCCACCATCCCCCAGCCATCCCCCTCTCACCTGGGCAGCTGAGAGAAAAAACAATTATACTCTTAACCGTCTGGGTTGGCTAGATATGCCCCCCCCCCATCTCTCATACATGCAGAGGAAACAGTTCCAATCCTCCACAGGCCCCCTTTCCACAGCCAGCCTAACTGGATATGGTCAGTCCAGTCCTTCCTTCTCAGTCTTTTGGGATGCTGAAAGATGTAACCAACAAAGTAGTCTCCAGCCACTCTGGGTCCATAGTCCAGAAAGTGAAGCAAATGAGACAGTCAAAATGGCTGCTAAGCCACATGGCTGACTGAACAGTAGCTAAATTCAGATAATACCTGAATTATCTGTAACTATAGATAATCAATTATATGAATTATCTGTAACTATAGATAATTAGGTTTTTCTAATTTGCAAGAACAGAAAGGAAGAATAACTCTATATGGCTTATTTGTAAAGTGTTTCATAAAGTTAGAAGCAGGAAGTATCAAATATTGTTGCCAATTCTGTAATATCTCCATCCAGGGAACTGTTGCATGAATTATTCTGTATAGATGATGAAAGAATTATGCAGTTAAGTGACCTCTACAAGTTGCTCTTATAGACTACTACAAACTAGATTAATACTTGGCTATAATCAACAAGTAACCCTTGTTCCACAGATATTTTTCAGCAGCATTAATACTTCATTATGCTTTCAATAATTTTTTTTGTTTTACCAGCCTTCAACTGATGGGCTAGTTCTGAGCAAGCTGTAGGTTTTTCTATTCAAATTGAATATTTCCCAACCATGAAAACCATCACAGAACATTATGCTGCAACTATTATCTCCAGCTGGAAATACAGTCAGTATCTTTGTGGAAATTACTATACTTGGCAAAAAAAAAAAAAAGCATTCAATTTTTCCTACATAATAAAGATAGAATAGCTTTAAAGGTTGAATAACTAAATCAACACACACAGTGTGCTTCCTTCTTTATTGTCACAACAATCCCTGCTCTGATGATTCTGGCACCTACAAATTATTTCAGCAGTAAAAGATGTAAAAAACATATGCAATTACAAATGCTACTATTCTTTGAAATTCTGCATCAGAAATGAGTTTTCTAGTCAGTTATTGAATCAGAATCCAATGTCTTATACTGTATAATATAGAGACTTATTAAGACACAGACTTCTGGACCCATAATAAATAGATCAGGATAGCTTGATCCTTATGGACTGTTCCTCAATCTGTCACTAGTGTTCCCAATTTCTTTCCCAAAATTAACTCAGCACATTGAGCAGGGCAAGTACTTAAAGGATGCAAATCCATAATTTAATGAATTCATAATATATATTTTACATCTGTATTTTATATACATGTATGCGCACTCATGAAGAAAATAAATTGATAGCCTAAAGAAGTATGTGCAATGAACAATAACAACATAATAATTACTTTCTGTGTGTGATGGGATTTTTCCCATTGGAAAAAATATTGTTTACACTGGTACAATTCAAGCAAAAATTCTTTTTATTGCTTTGTTTTAAGAATTTACTTTCTGCTTTTTCTTCATTAAAAATTATTCCAAATCAGAGTAAATTATTTTTTTCACATCTGGAACTACCCAGCCTTAAATTATATTATGAGGTTGATAGGGAAGAAGAAGAAGGAATATGACTTACCTTTCTTAGAATCTTCCGTTTCATTTAGTTCTTTTTGTGCTTCTTCAATTTTATCTAGAAGAAAAAAATATCAAAACTAAAAAAAAGCAAATTTATTTTAAACATGAATAGTTTATTACCTAACAGTTGTTGAATAACCATTTGTAAAATACTCCAGATATTACTGAATAGCTTACTCATCCTCATATAGAATGCAAAGGCTGCCCACCACAGAAACCTAGGGCAAAACCCCATTTTAGCAATAAAAACTGTTAAGAGTTAATTAGTACAACCTATTATTGCTTTTTCTTCTGAATAAAAATGATAGTACAAAGAAATATGACTTAATATTGTCCCAAGGAAAATGCTCAGTCTATAATAAAAATCTAGGAGCTCCGGTTTAACAAACAGACACCAAGATTAATGTTTTTCAAATATACTGGGATCAAAGAATGCTTTAAGATGATGATAAAGATCAGAATATGGCAACAGAAAGGTGATGAGATATGCTATAATTCGACCAGTTTAAACAGAAACAAATTATTTTTGTAAAAATACAATATACCAAATACAGATCTTCAGGAAAATGTCATCAAATGTCAAAGTTGTAAGATGTATACAATGGAAATAACTGGTCATTTTAGCTGGAGAGCTAAATCTCATTTGAGAGTTTAACTGACTTCCCAACATATTCCAATAGGCCAGGAATGTCAAAGATAGTGCTTCAGGGGAGGAAAGCTCCAGCTCTAGAGTAAAGCCATGCCCATTAAAACTCAATTTTTTCTGGAGGAGGAGGAGAGCAAGGTGTACATGAAACAGTATTTATCCATCTATCTATCTGAACTGGAACAAAACATCTCTCCCCCTCCCCATTTTATTCCAACAAAACAAAATACAAAATATTTGAAGTATTCAACCATAGAGAACAATAGGAACACAAAATAAATCTTTGCTATAAAGATTGGTAGAGTGTTAGTACATGCTAAGTACTATCTACTACCTGATTTACAGAAAATTGGCCAATAGTTCATTTCTTGACATTTTATAACATGGAAAACAATGGAGGCAAATTTAGGTACATGTATTGCAGCCTACATGAACAACTATAGAACTGAGCCCAGCAAAGAAGCGATAGCAATGAATTTACTTTACATCTCATGAGTACCAGTGTAATACAAAAGATATAGCTTTCAAGTTATTAACTTGAGGCTTCTTCCTCCTGGTGGCCTCCAAACTAAGGATTAATGAGATCTGACCCTACTTAATTTTTTTTATATTTGATCATTTTCATGCAAACACAGAAAAATAATATAGAAACTCACAAAGTAGCATCATTTTTTGCATTTTGCAACTTGAAAAGTAAACACCATAGCAACTCATTTGCATTCAGCAACTTCCCCCCCCAAAAAAGCACAAAACAATGAAAATTATTTTAAATAAAAATCACAGAAACAGAATACACATGTGCTAACTTGCATAGTGAAAAATTTAAAAACAGCAAGAAACATACCTATTAGGCATACCTACTACTAGTTCTTACTTTGGGCTGTCTGTTACCTTCCCTGAATGAAATAGCCTGGCATGCCAGCAGCTTTCCCATCCCTGGTCTAAATTAACATGAGGATTATATTAATGCTTTTTTCCCCTCTTAGCTCCGAAAGAGTGCAATCTCTACAGTATTCCCCAGAGGACTGACCTTGTCCAACTTGGCACCCTCCAACTGTCTTGGACAGAAAAAGAAGCATATTTGAAGCATGCTCAACTCCTAAGAACTTCATAGACATGGCCATGTAGTTTTAATGGAAAAAAAAAATACAGGAACAGTTTGTACTGCCTTCTTCCAGGATGCTTTATAAGCTTCTTGGTCAACCTTTATCCTGGGATTCTGGTGGCCTCTAAACCAAGGATTAATGAGATCTGACCCTGCTTAAATTTTTAGTATCAACCAAGGTTAGCTAGATGCTGAGATGCATTGGACAATAATTTCCATAATTCCATAATTCCCCATTTCAGCTGCATTTCAGCTGTAGGAGGCCTGTAGGCTAAAATATTCAAAGAGCACCAGGTTGGTTAAGGCTGCAGTAGATAATCAAGCATGCTTTCACTGCGCTCAGTGATCAACAGCAATATATAAAAATTACAGTAAGCCTATCCAGAATGTCCTGCTTAATTGATTGTATAAAGTCCAAAGTATTTAAAACTATGTATGTGCTTGTGTATATATAAATTAAAAAAAACCCGGGACTATTATTCTTTATTGCTGAATTTGCCAAATTGATTTACAGTCTCTGTTTCAACTTATTGCCATGACGACCACGGAGACAGGTTGCTATCATTTTCACATCATCTTGCTGAGGCAAAATGAAATTTATTCAGGGCCATCCAATGAATCCCTATCTGAACTAGGATTTGATTCATGATCGGGGTCCAACAATCTTTCATAAAATAATTATTTTATTATGCATTTGCCTATCATAAATGTGTGTGTGTGTGTGTATTTCCTGATGCTCCAAAATATATGATTTCTATTCATTTAAACATTAAGATATTGTGAGGGTGCATGAATGAAAATTTTATTTTAACAATGAGTGTGTGTGTGTGTGTGTGTAATAAACACGGAAAATAGGCATTGCCTACAGAGCAAATGTTTATGATAATCAATTCCACCTCCTCATCTAGCTGATGAAATCTGAAATCTCCATCAACAGAAAACATGTTTCAAATATTGTGTGTGTGTGTGTGTGTAATAAACACGGAAAATAGGCATTGCCTACAGAGCAAATGTTTATGATAATCAATTCCACCTCCTCATCTAGCTGATGAAATCTGAAATCTCCATCAACAGAAAACATGTTTCAAATATTGATGTCCACAGTAATCCAGTATTTCTGAAAGCATGGAAAGCAGATGCAGTGTCTGGTCAGAATTCCCCATACACTGCAAATCATTATAATAGCTGCTGAATGGTATAATCAGTCTCAAGTGTTCTGAGGTAAGAAGTGGGTGATAGGTATCCCTTGTGACCTAAAATATGAAACAAAAACTCAAAATAAAATAAAACCTCTAACGCTTTGAAATATTTGCATCCCACATTTCATTTTTATATTATCTAACAATCCTTAGTTTATAAACCCCTAAGGGCTGGCATGCTTGTTCATAGCTAGGCTCCTATGTGCCTGTGAGTCTGTATTGTTTGAACAGATTATTCTAATTCCAGTAATATAATTCTATTCCTTGCTATCAGTTCTCCAAAGCAACCAAACTCAAGTAAGTGAATAGCTCCAATACCATGCAAGGAACAATTTTCTTCATTTATTATTTTGATGATGATGATGATGTATTTTTATCCCACCTTTGTGGCAAACTTCACAGACCATTATTTGTCACATACCCATAGCCAGAATTTTCAGACAACAGAAATTCACAGCAGCTTTACAGACTGCTGAAAGCGAAAAGGAAATGAAAGAAGAAATTACAATGCTTCTATGCCTTGCCCTTGTTATTTCTGACACTTTTTCTATTTCAGTTACATTCCCACCTCCACCCCCAAGCTATGTATCCCCAGATCCTTCTTCATGGTTCTATACAGCGCAATAGCTCTTTTTAGCATTCAGCATAAAATATAGAGAGCTCAAACTGAGTAAAAAATAAGTCTGCAATGCAGCCCCTCCATGCATTCAGCTGGCAGCTCCAAATGAAATTTGTAGTTGTGTTTACTTGAACATGAGCAGTTTCCTATGCAATCCAGGACCCTGTCCTATAAGGGTCCCAGACTGCAAGAAGACTTAACATTTGTGATTATGCAAATGTCTATAACACTTCTTCAGACCTCTTGGCTGAATGAATGGAGACTGGAAAGAATAGGGGGTTGGGGTGCATGTGCGGCCCCATTTTTTTTTACATTTTCAAACTCTCATGCTTACAAGTGACCACATTAAGTTAATTTTTGTTTTTCTTTTCATTAGCATTTCTGCAGCATACTGGCTGATAGGGTAATCCTTGCTCTTGTTACTTCTTCATTAGAAAAAGTACAGTATTATAACGCACACTTGACAGAATTGCTACTGAAAAAAATTCAGAACTGTCTGGAAAAAATGGTGGGAAAAGTTCTAAATGGGCTAAGAGAACAGAACATATAACACTTATTCTAGCTGCACTGGTTATGAACTTGCTGTTATATACAATTTAAGTTCTATTCAAGAAGAAAGCTGGAGAGGCCTTTCTCAAGTGTTCCCTTGCCAAGAAAGACTTTCTACTGTATGGAAGTTGGTCTTTTTGCTGGTTGCTATCAAATTGTAGAATTCTTTCCGTTGTGAAAACTAGGCTTTTAAAAAATTGCTTTTGTTAGTTGGATTTCTGATGATCCTGACACTTTAGAGACTTTTTGGGTACTATATTTGTTTACTTTGCTTTTACTGGTTGGCTTCTTGGTTGTCTTTTGAAAAAAAGCAGAAAGACTATTTTAAATAGATCTGAAACTGTCAGCCTTACACATGCCAGTGATGCTGATGGGTATACCTGTACCTTATCTGGACAGATGATACAGCCTGGGCTGTATCGAATCAGTTTCACTTTGTCAGTAAGCCTTACGCCTGTAACGTTCACAGGTAAGGACTCTCTAACAGTAAAGGAACTGGTTCTTTTTCTAGTCTTAAGACTGATGTTGTTGTTGAAATGCGGCTCTTTATATCTCAGCATCATGAACTGTGCATATAGTTTTTCTTTATTTCTTTGCGGATTTACTACATTGTCAGCTATTTCCCATCCTACTTTTTCAGTGTCAACTGCAAACATTCAAAGGAGTGCAAATATGTGCACAGCATTCTAGCTTATCAATATTATTAATTTCTGGTCTTTACATAACATAGTATATAACAATAAAATAATACAGCATATCAATAAAGTAAAAAAGAACAGTAGTTTTAAATGGATAGCCAGTCATGCAGTAATAAATTGGAAGTCATAAGATTCATGCTTCTTCCTTCTTTTAGCGGAGATTTCCTGTTTCAGCCTCAACAAAGAGATTGAAATCAGGACATTAGACTGTTTCCATACTTAAGACAGAACTAGTGGTTTCACTCTGTTGCTACCTCCACAAGTCTTCCTGAACTCAAACAAGTTATTTTTCTGAGCCTGTGCAGCTATTGAGTGAGCCAAGGAAAAGACATGGCTCCTTTAAAGGACTGCCAATAGGTATAACAAGTTGCCCATGATGGAACTGAAACGTTTTGCCCACTTTGGATCTGACTATTGCAAACCTTTCATTGATATATATCTGTTATGTTGCCTTGTAGAACTGCAAGATCAAAGAGTTATTGGTTTCTTACTGTTATGCTTCTTATTATGGTTTGCTCTTTGTTATGTTTCACCCAGAAGAGATATGCAAATTAAATATTTTTTTTAATGGTATAATAACGCACTTTCTTGAAGATTGTGTGACAAGATATATACTTGCATGGACTTGTCCCAGGAGCCAATACAATAGAATCATAGGGATTTTTAAAAATATTGCACTCTTCTATCTGTTTGCAACCTATATACACGTTTTTTTAAAAAAACTTTCCTTACAGGTTTTTTTTTTTTTAAATGTCTTCTCAGATTGTAAGAAATAGGCAAAATCACACAATTATAAAGTTGGGAAGGGGTAATTTTAAGCCATAGTATCTAACCTTTGGTTCAGTGCAAGTATCCCAACTGAAGCATCCCTGATAAATGTTTATCCAGCTTTGGTTTGAAGACATCCAGTAAAAAGATGCCCATAGCCTCCCTAGATAACGGATTCCACAGTTGAACTGCTCTATTAAAAGTCTTATCCTAACATTCAATTGAACGAAGTCTTCCTATAACTTAAAATCATTATTCATGTCCTGTAATCTGGGATGCTAGAGAATATATCGTGAACTTTCTGCTTTAAGGAACCTGAAGCTTCCAAAAAAGACATATTACTAATGTGTGACATTACTAAATACAATCCCAATAAAACTGATAAAAAAGCAACTATATGCTCACTCAGTTATATTTCTATCATGCATATTTTATTCAATGAATAGTGAACTGGTCCTGAACCACCCTTGTTATTAAAGATTTCTGGATGTGCAGTAAAGGTTAATTGGTTTACGGTGATGCAACTTTAAAAAAATGTATTCTGAAAAATATAAGCTTTTATTCATTTAGATTAACAGTGATTCCTCTCAGCAATCTGTGTGGGGGGCGGTAGAGGAAGAGGAGGAAGATGGCAAGTAGCCTTCTCCAATCTGATGCTATCCGGATGCTCTGGACTTCAATTTCGATAAATCAGCACATTTGAAAAGCAGCCAACTGAATTAAGTAAACAATATGACAGCAATAAAGGTAAAAGGTCAACAGCTGAATTTACATCTATTTACAGTACAAGAAAAAAAAATAACAGGTTTATTTTCATACTGATAAACACTGTCCCACTTGTGTCTTATACTTGGGTAAAATTCTCTCCGAGAGTCTTTGCTGATAGTTTCTTTCAGTGTGACAGTTCTAGGCTGTTATTACAAGCATTTCAGGATAAAAAAAAAGTGCTAATGTTTTACTATAACTCCTATAACTCCTGTCCTAGTTACAGGGAACAATGGCACCAACATTATTTCTAGACTACGATTCTGATTCCATCAGTCAGTGGATATTCTGGTGCTGACTTCTACCCAAGGCAGATTAATTTAGTGGTGGTGGGGCATTTAAGACTGCAAAATGTCTAGACTGTTCTGAAATCCTGAATGCCAGAGAATTATCTCTAGAGCATTCCAATATCTAGAATGAATACATTACGCTAATGAAGCACTACCAGGATAAGCACATTCACATTATAACAGAAATCTATACTCTACTTTATCTCAAACTTATCTGAGAGAAATATCATACTGTAGTCAGAGATGCAGAAGGAAAAGATACAGGATAAGCTCTGTAGTGTACAAGCTAAAAGTGAAAACTGCCTTGAGTTAAGCTCAACTCCTAGTGAATGCATTCATGCAATTTTTTTTGGAAAATTTACAAAAGTGGATTGCTTTTTTCTGGGATTTTTTTTTTTATTCAATTTCCCAGCCTATCCCTAAGAATTACCTGGCAATCTCCTATTCAAATGGTAACCAGGACTGAGTTTGTTAGTTGATTAGTTAAAGTAAGTAAAGTAAAGTAAGCTAGAAGCTGTCACCTGCTGAGACACAGTAGAAACTAAAGATTAAATATCAGAGGCCTTTATGATTGCAAGCCTACTACTTTATTATCTGAAGTACTGATTACTACTTGAGAAATAAAATGTTGATAAGACTGTCATGTTTGATAGAAAAAGTACCAAGAACAGTTTTACACAGAGCCAACTTACCGTTTAAGATACAACACTTACATTAAGTACTAACCACTAAGCTTTAAAACACACACACACACACACACTTATTTTACACTCTAATCATTCTCAAAAAGAATTGTCTTGTATTTTATATGGACTTAAAGAGTTATGCGGGAACAGACCAAAAGTTAGAGTATGCTCTTTTTCTCATTAGTTAATTCAGAGGCCCATGCAAAACTCACAAGTAAGGCATATGTACAATTGCACACTGCCAGTCATGTTCCCCAAGAATTGGTATTCCAAGAAACTATGATCATTATAATCTAATCCCTGTTAAAGCTGTCTGCCAGCACTTACAGTACTTCCTTTAACTGTCCTCAAACTCATTGCTTAACTCACTAGCTACTAATATTCAAAAGAAGCACTTCACATTATATATCTCTTCTAGCTATGCTAATCTTTTATAACCCTAACCCACCTTTTTTTTAGGTTTAAAAAAAAAACCTGATGGATACAATATTCTAAGTATGCCTCGCATCACTGATTTATACAACAGCATAATTGCATTTGCCTTTTGGAGAAGCCAAATATTAAATCAAATTTTTCATTGAGCACATCTATCTAACCCTAGCAGATGATTGCCACTCACTGACCTTGTTTGGGCTCTGTAATTAAGCAGGACTGGGTCTGGCTACTACTTAAATATTGTTAGAAAACACCGGGATTAGGCACAGACTAGAAAGTTGAAAAAGTTCTGGAAGAAGGCTATGATCTGCACTACTGTCAAGTAAACTGCATGGATGTGTCCACAAAATTAGCAAGAATCAAGTTTGACTTGAATGAGACTCTACTTTTAACCCCAACCCCACCCTGAAAAAATCATATTGAGTAATTGCACTGAAATTTCTATCATACAGACTGAATTCGTTTTAGAAGGCATAGATATGAACAGTAATATCAATGTATTTCTTTCCACCTCACCTCCCTTTTGTAAAGTCCTAACCCTAATCCTCTAGAAATGGTACTCTATTTCATGGCTTAATCTTTTTTAAGCAGTTTTATAAAATGTTTAATACCCAGCAAAATATTCACTGACATTGCTTTTGACATTTATCATTTTTAATCTTGGCCCCAGTTTGTTTCTTGAAATTTAGATGTATTTCTTCATTTCTGATTTGCAAAGTCTGGCATTGTTAATAAGTGTAAAACTGGATACTGTAGACCAGTAGAGATTCTTACAAGCAGCTTCAGTCTTGCCCTATATGCTTCCCTGATGAATTTCCTTGAAACATTATGAAGATTCTAAACCAGGAATACAGACAGGTGTGAATACTAGAGATTTGTCACTATTTCATTGTCATTTATAACATATAAAGTAATTAGCCATTACTTACTGATCATGAAAAAAACACCTCCTTCGGTGAATTTCATTAAGATGCTCTATTTAGCCTTGTGTTTCTTGAGTGTTTGTTCCTTCTGCTGAAAGGAAGGTAACTTTTTATCATTCTTGCCTCTAACTATTTACTTTTCATATTCCCATCTATCACTTACTCTTTGTCTTTCTAACCTAAAAAGCCCCAGCTATTGTTAGCTTTCATCACAGGGGAGTGTCTCTAGCCCTTTGATCATCTTACTTTCCTTTCTTGCTTTACAGTATTCTTTATGAGGTGCAATGACCAGAATAGAATATACTAATATGCTGGAGGTATACAACATTCATCAAAGAAGGAACCCAGAATAATCAGGTCAGAATGCAGTTGCCCGGCTGGTAAATAAAAGCACTTTATAATGTGCGTGTATGTGTGTGTGTGTGTATCTGTAGTTCGTTGCCAGTGGTTTCATACATCGAGGGTTGGCAAGTTCAAACCAGCCCTCCTTATTTGTGATAAAAAAATTTATGTGTCTTTGTTTTTGTTTTGGGGGGGTTGTTTGGCACACAGTTTAGTTTGGAAGATGGTTTTTGGAGTATTTTTTTAGCATTATATGCAAGTGCAAAAAAAGTGGAAAGGCTTTTGCACATGGATAAAATACATTTTTCAATGTCCCCTTATCCACAGTTATTAGGCTGAAACAACTTCTGTGAATAAAGTCCACTTAAATGTAATGTTTTGGAGATAAGAAAATAAAACAAACATTATGAAACAAGTCTAAAATGATTAGGATTTAGGTGTAATGGTTAAGGCAGTAGGCTAGAAACCAGGAGACCGTGAGTTCTAGTCCCACCTTAGGCACAAACCACTTGGGTAATCTTGGGCCAGTCCCTCTCTCTCAGCCCTATGAAGGAGACAATGGCAAACCACTTCCAAAAAACCTTGCCAAAAAAACTGACTTGAAGGCATACACACACAAAAAATCCCTCAAGGTGGAAGGATTACTTTTCAGTTCACAAAACTAATGTTTTTTACTTGACTGGTCCCTAAAATAACTAAGCAGTTGAGCCAAAATTATAAATCATAGTTCCTGGATAGCACTGATTTCTATATCCTCAGATCCAGAAACATTTTTCTAGCCTTGAAAATCTGTTATTTCCTACAAAACCAATAATTGTGGTTTAACCTGTTTGTGTACAATTTTTGCTTTAAAAAGTACACATTCCTAATTACCTGCATAAGAATGCTATTTTTTTTAATTACACAGGACCCCAGAAGCTTAACTTTGAAACATGAATTGGATTCTACTGACAATACAGCTTACCTCTTAATAAATAGCACCTACATAAAAATTTATCTAAAGGACTAGGTTAGAGATAGATTGTCATGGAGAAAATTTACCTATGTGGTTGTTAACAGTCAACACAGCCTTGATGGCACACAATCAGCATGAATATTCAGGGAGAAGTCATAATGAGGTTTTGAAGTACAATACAGGCAATCCTTGGGTTATGGCAGCAACTGTTACATCCTGTGATCACATTGCTTAGCGACTGCAATCTCGGTTGCTGTCATAACCCCAAGATGCACAGGTTATTAAGTGGGAAGAGGCGGGAGTCCCAGGTAAGGAGTACAGGGGAGTGCCATGGGTGGGTGCTAGGGAGTGCAGATGGGTTGGCAGGGACCATGGGAGGAGTCCTCAGGAGAAAAAGTGGCAGGAGCAACTTGTGACCTTCCCTGCTGGCTTCCCCACTGACTGTTTGTGGGAAGCCAGCAGGGAAGGTTGAAAATGGCAATCACATGACGCTACTTGCTGCAATGTCATAATCGCAAGCCAGGCACCCAAGTGCCCAGATCACGATCACGTGACTGCGGGGATACTCGATGGCCAGAACTTCAAGGCCTGGTCGTAAGTCCATTTTTTCAGTCTGCAGCTTATATCCATTGGTTCAGCAACTGTTCAAAGTTATGGCAGCGCTGAACGAGTGGTATTTATGACCAGTCCTCAAAGTTCCAGTCATCGCAGCATCCCCATGGTCATGTGATCGCAATTTGGGCACTTGGTAACTGGCTCACACTTACAACAGTTGCAGTGTCCCACAGTCATGTGATCACCATTTGCAACCTTCCCTGCTGGCTTCCCACAAGCAAAGTCAATGGGGAAGCCAGTAAGGAAGGTCGCAAATCGCTTCCATAAGTCATTCCCGCTTCCACCACCTGCCTGCATTCACGCCATGCCACAGCATCCCCCAGTTGCACTCGTGCCATGCCACAGAATCCACCCACACTATGCAGCACCCCCTGCCCAGTCGCACTCAAATTGGGCTGCAGCACCCACCCACCCACCTGGTTGTGCTTGCACCAAGCTGCAGCACCCACCTGTGCACCTGCCCACTCTCCATAGTACTCACCCACCTGCCGGCCTGCTTGCAAGCTGCCTATGGAAAGGCTTGTAGTGACCGGGACTTTTAACTTCCTACCACCTTCCCCATTGACTTTGCTTGTTGGAAGCTGGTAGGAAATCGCAAGTCCCAGTCATGTGAAGTCCTTGTTTAATACCCCATGATCCTCACTTAATGACGGCAACAGGGACTGCCACGATTTCCGTCACTAGGTGATGCAGTCACGTCATTGTACTTTATGACTGTATCACTTAGCAACGGAAATTTCAGTCCCAATTACTGTTGTTAAGCAAGGACTACCTGTACAGAAGTAGAAACCCTGAGCCCACCCTAGAAAGTAAGTAACAGGTTGTGCAAGGTGTTACAAACTGAATTATACTGATAGCAAGCAAATGTACATACATCTAAGCGTTCCTCTACTGAGCCATTATTGAGCAACTGGTGACAATCACATGGAAACTGATAATCTCTTGATTTCAACCCATTCTCTACTGGGCTGCCTCTGAAGACTGAAAACTTTCATTAATTCCAAATGATGTGATTGGGAGAAAATATTCATATGCAATATATTAAACACAGATCCTAAAAGAAATTTCACTGGTTACCTCTTCAAAAGTCTACCCATTACTTGAAATATCTAGAGATCCTTATGCTGACAACCTTATTTCACAGAGTACTTTTCTACAATAGGCCACTAGGAAACCATTGTGGTTTAGTACTACACCTACAACTATATGGGCATGCACTAGCCAATATGATATTATGTATGTTATTAAAACATGGAAGAATTTCACATCACTGGCTACATTTTATATTTTCTCATACTGGTTCATTGCAATCTAAACAGTGTATTTAGCACTGCATGTCTAATTATTTGTTGCAAAGAAACAGATGGGGACAAGCAGATGGTATTTCAAGAATATCTTGGAACTCACAGGCTAGGAAGCCACATGGATTCTTTATTTGCAGGGACTATTTCCCATTTAGGACCACAAGGCTATATAACCATGGTAACAGACTGACTGACGAGGTATGACCCACAGCTTTCCTTTTGAGAATTCACTGAAGAGCTTTTTCCTCTCTTCAGCCCTTACACAATGAGCCTCTCCTTTTCTCCCATTCATCATAATTGGCACATGCAATTCACTCCAAACATATTTCAAATTCTCAAATATTTGTTGAAAGAATAGAGAACGTTGACATTATTAAGCATAGCAATTATAAAAACCTACTGGAATTCTCCTGCTGATTAAATGAATGGTGTCCAGACACTGACTTCTCTAATGACCTGTATTACACACTCCAAAATATTATTTTGTTTCTAACAAAATTAGACCTTTCTCATTCCTATCTGTTTGAAGAATTTGTAACTGGATTCCATATGTTTCTCAAATCCAGGATTTAAATGATATAATTTAGTACAATATAAAGATTAAAGATAGTATCAAAAACTGACCTGGCTCCTACAAAACAAAAGATCTATGAAAGCTTGAATAATCTTAGACTTACCACTAGGAGTCAGCTTTGTATAAGTCATTATCTGAATTAGACATTCTCCAGTGTACCAAAAAAGTTAGTGCTAATGAGAATTGATCACTTTTTGCACATGTATGATAGGAAGAGTATTAATAATATTACTGTCTTTCTAGCAATCAGATAGTGTCAGTAAGTAACTCTTAAAACTATTGTTGCAGCAGCAGCAATTACATAAACATACTATGAAAGCTTTTCTATAACGTTAAATAGTCCCAGTCAGGATGCAGTACATTAATCCACCATTTGTTAAATATATAAATGGAATTATGATATTACCATGCCACAAGCTACATCTGAAGGCATCACCAGAATGGTAGCCATAGCTGGATGTTTTTTCATTGATGTGTTGTAACTTATACAGGTAGATGTCAAATTTCAAAGATTCGCATATGCATGTACAAGCAATAAAGTGTTTGAAGATCTGGAGAATTTATGTATAGGCAGCTGGGACGACCACATTTTTCTTCCAAACGTCTTTGAGATACTCCATCCTTGATCACAAGTAACATGGGCATTAAGTTGAGTGGTTTCATCATACCAATAATGTTACACAAGTTGATACTACAAGGTAAATATGTACTTCAAAACTATGTAGTGAGTAGATCTGAAAGTTTGAGAGCATGTCAGATAGTAAGAGCTGCCAGTGGGGTACTCTTCTCAAAATGATGCTATGATGGGCATACATTTACCAGAAAATAAACTTCTTGCACTTCATGAGCACTTCTGAATACAATATACAATATCACTGATTATGCCTGAATGATTTCACCTTCCTTTAATTCAAATAGCAGGTTTGCAACAGCCATCTTATAAGTCCTTTCACATCAACCTATTTAAGCCTTGGATACCCACTCCCTGCCTGCATCCAAGTTTTCTTACCTTAATTCAAAAACAAGGGTTTAGGCAAACTCATTACAGAGTTTTCAAAGTCCACTTTTCACTCATGATTAGCTGCCCATCGGGTCTTGTCTCCTTCAATAAGAACTACCCACCCCATGAATTAGACCTTTCTATGAGACTTAACATACCCTCTAGAAATCTAGCTTTCCATTTTAGATCTCTGTAATGAGATTGCAATGATTCAGGACACAGAAGTACTTAAAAGTCTTTTCATCAGCAGTTGAAAGCATTGCCTTGTTGACAGT